CCATTTAGATAGTATTGTCTAAAGCATCCTAAAATCACATCATAATCAAATAGGAACGAAATAGGGATGCAATCGATGATATTATTGTGATTATTCACACAAATTAGCACGAAACAAACCTAAATATGAAGGACAAATAAGCAATTTGGGTGTTATCAAACTACCCCACACTTTGGCGTTTCCTTGCCCCCAAGCAAACCTGCAACTTGATGGACAAATCAATGGGGGTGCACTCTAGTTCTTTATTGTATAAATAAGAGTAAACGGAGATGAGTAAATGTTACTATCAACTTACTGTGCAAGCACAAACTCCGTGGTGAGGACCATACTTACTACCTTAGGACAAACATTCAAGGTGTGCACCGAGGGACTTCTCAACAAACGAGAGCTTGAGGTCTCTTGAATCGCTAAAAGGTACTTTGTACCTGCCATACGATTCCGTGAGGAGGAAAGATGTTTGGGGGATGGTAAGTAGTGAAAGGTGATCATGACGTAGTAAAGCTATCTGGTCCCTAAACACATTCTCAAATGGGACTCATATCCGAGAGAATCGGTTGCCTCTCATGAGAGAACCTCTTTTCAAAAGATTTTTTTTCAACATAAATCACAAATTTGCAAAAGTTTCGAGTTAAAAATGATGGGGAATCCCACACACATGTTCTTCCTAAAATAGCAAACATTATCAACTCACTAAGGAGGAAGAAGAGAGTAAAACCTCTCATACACTGGTACTCTAATCATGCAACTACTCCCTAGAAAACACAACACACCAATCATATATCAATTCCAAGCATATTGAGTAGGAAGTTGCAAGGAACAAACAAGAGCTTGAGATCTCTTGCATCTCTAAAAGGTACTTTGTACCTTGCCATCCAATTCCACGAGGAGGAAAGATGTTTGTGGGATGGTAAGTAGAGAAAGGTGATTGGGACGCGATAAAGTTATCTGGTCCCCAAACATATCCTCAACTGACACTCAGAGCCGAGAGGATCTGTTGCTTCTCACGTGAGAAGCGGTACTCTAATCGTGTAACTACTCCCTAGCAAACACAACACATCAATTTTCTATCAATTCCAAGCATATTGAGTAGGAAGTCGCCAGGAACAAACGAGAGCTTGAGGTCTCTTGAAAAGCTAAAAGGTACTTTGTACCTTGCCATACGATTCCGTGAGGAGGAAAGATGTTTAGGGGATGGTAAGTAGTGAAAGGTGATCGGGACGCGGTAAAGCTATCCAGTCTCCAAACATATCCTCAAATGACACTCTGAGCCGAGAGGATCGGTTTCCTCTCACGTGAGAACCTCTTTTTCAAAAGTTTTTTTTCAACATAAAGCACAAATTTGTAAAAGTTTCAACTTAAAAAATGATGGAGAATCCCGCATACATGTTCTTCCTAAAATAGCAAACATTATCAACTCATCAAGAAGAAGAAGAAGAAGAGAGTAAAACCTCTCATACAACGGTACTCTAATCATGCAACCACTCCCTAACGAACCCAACACATCAATCATCTATCAATTCCAAACATATTGAGTAGGAAGTTGCAAGGAACAAGGTGTTTTGGAACCCTCAAATTTGGAAAAAAATGGGTAGTGCATTTTAGGTTTCAAAACACAATCAATAAGCCATTCAACTCCACAAACACGCACAATCGCTACCATACACTCCCATAAGCAATAATCAACATCTTACATGCATTATAAAGGGAGGCTACTATGATTCATGGCTCAATCAATCATGATAATCATTCAAACATTCACTGACATCCCCCTACACTTGAGCGACACATTGTCCTCAATGTGGGATATTCAAAAGACAAGATCATGAAGGTTACCATAGGTCGGGTTGTGGGTTGGTGAAGGTACACAAGTTTAGGTCTTTGTCTTCCTGGTGGTTTTCAAAAAGATAAAGAACATAAGAAAGAGAGGAAGGGATTATAGGACATAGGTACGATAAGTAGATAATATAAGTACGGTTACTACTAGTATGGGAATATTTAAAGTACGAAAATCAAAATGAAAAGTAAGCAATAATTAAATATTTTTTATAGAGAAAGAAAAGAAGAGCGAAGAAAAAGAAAAGATATAACTTAGGCCCTGGATTCCTAGTACTTAATCCTCCTCGGAGGGTCCTTCTTCTTCTTCTTCTTCTTGGAATGGCGAAATGGGAGGTGAGCAAACAAGTGGGAGCAATACATCTTCTATTTGGATATTCATCTTCTTCATTATAGCATGGATGCACGCCATGATATGTAGTCGTGCTTCCCTCTCCCTCCTTTGATTGTGAAGGATCGCCGCTATCATCGCTTAGACTTGGAAATCCCTTGCATGGTTAGAAGTTGGGAGAACAGGATGAGAAGTGGATGGGTGCACCTCTCCTCTCTCATACATGTTTTCAACTTGTTCTTCCTTGTTCACTAGTCCTCTTCGTCCTCTTACTTCCGTATCTTCCGGAAGATAGACCACGGTACCCTCCATATTTAACGTGTTAGTGGTTGGAAATGTATGTCCATATACTCCCCAAATGCCATCGTCATTCAAATGTAGCACTTTAATTCTGGATTTCAGGATGTCAAAGGATATAGGAGAGGTCCTACTATCCAACCGAAATTGCACGACCAAGAAATCGACTTCGAAATACTTTGCAAGACGGGAAACAAAAACTCCTCCATGAAGGGCAGTGAGTAGATGGTCAGTTTCATAATGCTTGAAGATGGACAAAATTGCCAAACCGAGGTGAAGTGATTGAGGTAGATGCATGCTTTGGAAGAAAATGATGTCTCGGGCAGTCAAATTGCCTTTGCTTCCGTTCTTTCCACCCACGGACCCAGCAATCACATGGTGGATTAACCGCCACTCCGGTTTCACCTCGCTAGCCTTCGATATCTTGACATCCCACAGTCTACTATTGGACTTCTTGACTTTGGATTCATAGAAATGCTTGAAGCATCAAGCATGGGAAGTCGTATTTCCTTGTCAAGCTAGCAAAAGCGTCTGGTGAGTCAACGAAATCCGCCGAGTAAATCTCCATGGCTCTTGTAAATTCTCGAATTGATATTTGGCGATGTTCTCCTCCTAGTTGGAATCGGATGTTGTCTTGAAAGTCGGCGACACCTCGCATATCTTGAATGGAGAGAGTGCTAATGAATTCCAGAACAAGTAACCGATATATGTTTTCTTGAATGGATAACAACTTAAGCCTTTCGAACTTTAGAATATTGGAACGGATTGCACCCACGATCCCATGTTGTGTGAAGAGTATCCAGTTGAGACATGTACTCACTCCTAGGGGAAGCCCTTGAAGCCACAATAGTTTGGGCTTAAATTGCTCGGGGACATTGTCCAAATAAAAATGAGTGAAGTGCTCCATGCCACCTCTAACATTGGCTTGACTCACTTGATGAATTTCCATTGTGGGATGGAGACAGAGTGAAGGTGGATTTGATTCTTCAACAACTACTTTCTTTGATCCGGATTTGCTTTTTTTTTCTTCCGATGGTCTTGGCGAGGATGAGTGTTTCGAGGACGCTCCATATTAGAAGAACTCTCTCCACGGGCCATTCCCTTGGTCTTGTAAATTAGCCTTCAAAACAAGTAGTACAAAATGAACAACCCATCAATCCAAATATCACTTACCAGAAGAAGAACTTTTAAAGAACTCTCCTTAATTCTCTAAGTTCCCCCACACTTGAGTGAGACTAAAGCTTTGGGAAAAAAGGGAGACTTAGAGGAAGATTTAGTTTAATGAAAATGAATAATCCTAGAATCTCATTAACCAACACAAAACAAGTAGACAAGGGCCAACAAATGTAAAGAAATTAATGCTCAATGATTAGGATTGAAGAAAATGAAAACTATGTAGTTGGGGAATTTCTAAGAATACTTGGTGGGCGGTCTATGAAGGCTTAAAACATGTGTGAAAATTGCCACCATTATCTCTCAAAATGCATAGTAAGACCAACAAAGCAAAGATAACAATCCTATGACATCAAAAAGTCATGCCAAAGTCATGATGAGTATTGCAAGTTCTCAAAGCATTCAACACATGTTGAGCCCAACAAGGTAGTTAGAACATAGGAAAATGAAAAAGTGTACCTTATCTTGCTAGGAGACATAATGAGAATCCAAAAGATGATTGAAAGTACTTTTCTAAAGATGTTGAAAAGTATAGTAGAGGAAGGGGTTAATTGCATGGTTGGTCACTGAGATTATAAAAAACGTTCAAGTTTGGTCACTCGAAATATTTAAATCCATTGTTGGTACTTCAGTTTACTTAAACCGTTCACGTTTGGTCACTCTCCGTCCAACTCCGTTAACTTTTGCTGATGTGGCAGTCAACTCTCAAAGTTGACCGTTAACTTAGTGACGTGGCAAATAAAAAATAATAAATTTAATAAAATTTAATCTATTTTAATTTCCAACTCTCATTTTTACCATAAAATAAATAAATAAATAAAATAAAAAATATTATAATTATTAGTTACCAACCCAACAAACCACGGACTCCAACATACGCCTCGCCGAGCTCCCCTTCCCTGCTGATCTACTCGTCGATAAGTAGGCGTTTCGACGGCCAACTTATCGACGATGCTGAGCAAGCTCTGCATGTGGGAGAAGAAACTATACGAAGTCAAGGTTTGTGCTACTCTGCTACAGTTCAATTGAATATCAATATCAGGGGTTTATGCTATCTCACAAATGGTATAGAAAATGTTACAACAGAGCCTTTTTTTTCCAAAATTGTGTGTCCTCGACGCTGTTTTAGGTGGAAGAGAGGTTGCGGATTGCTTATGGGAAGTGTTGTAAAAAGATGAAGAAAATCTTGGCCGACGACGGCGCGGCGAGAACCAGAGCAGCCGCCGATGCATTTGGGGCTACGCTCAGAACTCTGGCCACTCCGATCAAAGTTGGAATGCAAGTCATCGACAGGACATAAACCAACATCAACAAGCTGCGGGACGAAGTCATCGACGCCATTGGTTTGCTGTTGGGCGGATTGAACAAATTCCTGGAGGAGCAGCAGCTCGCTCATGGTGAAGAAAAACCCGTGACTCCAACATCCGCCTCGTCGGCTCCGCAGTGGCTGATCTCCGACGTCTTCTTTGGGTGGGCCACGTCAACGGCAGAGAGTATAGGGATTCGTAATTTCACTTTCACGACGTGTGGCGCGTACGGAAGCTTGGGGTACATATCGCTGTGGATGAATCTCCCTCACCGGAAACAGAGGATCGTCGATTCCGACGGTCCCGACGGCGAGGAGAACTTTTCAATTCCCGGGTTTCCTAAACATTGTCGATTTACGATGAGTCAACTGCCACAAATATTCAGAGATGCCGATGGTAAGGATCCTTGGTCGGAGTTTTCCGGCCGCAGATTGCGGGGTCGATGGAGTCCGTCGGATGGCTGTGCAACACGGTGGAGGAATTCGTGGGTTCGGGTCACTATTTTATTTTATTTTTTATTTTTTATGGTAAATGAGTTGGAAATTAAAATATATTAAATTTTATTTTATTGATTATTTTTAGTTGTCACGTCACTAAGTTAACGGTCAACTTTGAGAGTTGCTGCCACATCAGCCAAAGTTAACGGAGTTGGACGGAGAGTGACCAAACGTGAACGGTTTAAGTAAATTGAAGTACTACCAATGGATTTAAATATTTAGAGTGACCAAACTTGAACGTTTTTTATAATCTCAGTGACCAACCTTGCAATTAACCCGTAGAGGAAGTAAGCACAACAAGCTAAGAAAGGTTGGGAAACATGGCATTGAGATGCAAAAGATGAGATGGAGAGAATACATATGATTGCAGTGCACATCTTTCCCTTAAATAAGCACGTACAAGATCTCGGGCAGCAGACAAATTATCGCGGTCGCGATCTCTGAAATGCCAACCGCGATCGTCGCCCTGAACACAGATTATGATTTCACTAAACCTTAAGCTCAGTCATTCTACTCAATGCAGTCAAAATCGCGCTTTAAAACTTAAAAACTTACGATTTTACGCTTTTAGATCAGCAAAACGCTTTTGTTTCCATATAAAAACTTTAGTGTATAAAATCGGACTAAATTGCGCTTTAAACCTTAAAAGCTTACGCTTTTACGCTTCTAGTTCACCAAATTGCTTTACATTTTTACGTCATTAAATAGGTATTATTTTCATGAAATTAAAGGTAAATTACCAAAAATACGATACATTTGAGATTAAAGGTACATACTAGGTACTTGGATGCGTTCTCTGCTTCAATAGAGTAATCTAATTCATCAGCTAGACTCTTCCCAAATTCATTAGCATAGAGGGGACGATGGCTTATTGTTAAGATTTATGTTTATGAACTATTATTAAGAGCCTATAAGTTGTTCTACTTTAGGCATGAATTCCAAGTATTTATTAACTTATCTAAATTATGTGCACTCATATTTTATATAGTATATGTCGTACTTAACAGATTTTTAGTTATTTTACAGCATGCGTCAAAAACTTATGTTTTTACGCTTTAATTCTACGCTTTACGATTTTACCCCTTTTTCGCTTTTAGGTAGAATCACGCTTTTGACTGCATTGATTCTACTAAATCAATAAACCATCCCAAGAATAAGACAAGGGAAGGTCTAATCCTCCACTAAATCAATTGTTCAAAAATAAAAAGGTAAAGATACGCAAACCAACTCGTTGGATTGCCTCCCAATAGCCCATCTTTTAAAGTCTTTTCGTCGGACTTGACTCCTTGAGATCAAGAGGTAAGCGCTCCATTCTCCTAAGACAATTCTTCATAGAAATCATACTTGTGGTGGAGTCCTAAATGAAGACCATTGAGTCTCTCGGATGCCTCATCCGGTGTTTGAGATTAAAAAGTCATGTTCGAAGAACGACGTTCATGATTAAAGCAATTAGACTCCCTTGCGCAAGTGTCTTCATCCGTGTTTCTTCGTCTTGTCTTGGACTCTTCCCTTGGGGTATCTCTCATCAACGATGAACCTTCTAAGTTCCCTTCTATTCTTCGTGGCTTGTTGAGAGACTTTGAACTACTCTTGAAAATTCCTTTCAAAAGGAAACTTTTCTTTTCGCGGCCTTTTCTTAAATATGCAAGAATTATCCATACCTTCAACTCTTCTATCGTGAGAATCAACATGAGAGACCATATTAAACCATTATATCTCGGGGCTTGAAGGTGGTGTGGAAGGATGTGTGACCGGCTCACAATCCATCTTGACATCTTCCCACTTGTAGTACTTGTGAAAATTGAGGATTGGAGTCATCTTGTAGATTATCCCTCCCTTCCAAACCTTAAGGTGGTCTTGCTCCCAATCGCATCAATAATGGTCCTTGCCATAGCTAAGAATGGTCGGCCTAGGATTATCGATACATCTCATCCTTCTGTGTTGAGAACCACAAAGTCCACGGGATAAACAAAATGAGCAAATTTTACTAAAATATTTTCTATGATTCCTCTTGGCTCGACAAAGGACCTATTTGCCAATTTAATATGCATTTTAGTAGGTATGAATGGGCCAAGATCTAACTCATTATATATTCTTGTAGGCATTATATTAAAGAAAGTGCATGGAATAGTGAAGATTCCCGAATCTCTTAACTTTGGCAGGAAGCCTTCAAACCCAAGGGATGTCGAAGTGACTTAACTAACGGAGACTATAGAAACTTCTTCCATTTTCCTCTTTCAAGACAATATCTCTCTCAAGAATTTAGTATACTTCAGAATTTTCATAACCATGTATATGAAAGGGACAACTACCTTCAAATGGTTTAAGGTATATGATAATTGTCCAAAATATATTGATATCATGTGTTGAATGTGATTATTTCAAGATATGTTGAAGACATATGATGCTTGTTTTAAGGCCAACTGATTCTGGAGTGGTTGTAAGACCATTACCACCGTGTGTTAGAATTTTGATATATTTTAGGTGGAAAGATAGAAATTGTGGAAGCACAAATAGAAAAACACATTGAAGACAGATCAAGTCTATAACTGAACCCGTTTGGACCAGATTCTTGACCTAGCCCAGTTGTATGAAGGGACAGTTGCATTTGAGATTAATTAAAGGAAGTTGGACCGGCCAGGGTGATTTATTTGGACTGGGAAAGAAAGGGCTGGGGACGGCATTCAAGTGGAGGGAGGATCCGATGACTAGGGGGGTGCTTATTCACTTGGCTAAGTCCCTCCTACCCATTGGATCTAGATGGATTGATCTAATGGTGAAATTTAGGGAAGGGATAATTAAATAGTGGGAAGGGCAATCCTGGAATTATAAAAATACATTTAATTTGTTATTTTCCCCTCCAATCTTCCTTTTCTGTGTTGCTAACCTCGGCCATGGAAGAGAGAGAAACACAGCAGTGGGGAGAGAAGGACGGTGACGGTGAAAGAGAGGGGGGCGACGACGACGATGGAGAGAGAGAATGGAGATCTCGACGGTGTCGGCGAAGGCGAATAGAGGGAAAGGAGAACGCGACAGAGGCGACATCGTTGAAGAGAGAGAAAGCAGATCTGGTCGTCGTCGGGAAAACAGAGGAGAGAGAGACGATGGTGGAGGAGAGAAAGGCAGTGGCACAGAGAGAGTGTCGACACGGTGGAGGAGAGAGAGGCGGTGCGGCGGGAGAGAGAGAGAGGTGGCAACGGTAGTAGAGAGAGTCGGTGGCGGTGGTTGAAAGAGCCGAAGACGACGACGGATCTCTTGACATCGTAGTCGTCTGAGTGAAGAACAATGATTTGTAATGCAAGTGTTGTCAGTTTGTATTGTTAGTATTTTTGTACATAATGTCAGTATGATTTGTATAGTTTTGTTAGTATTTTTGTACATAATGTCAGTATGATTTGTATAGTTTATATGTTTTGTAATATTAATTTGTATACTTTATATGTATTGATTTGTGATGCAAGTCATGTCGGTTTGTATTGTAAGTACTAATACTTCGTACTCTTATTTTGTTTTGGGTACTTTGTATAATACCAATCATTACAAACCAGATGAACAAACATTACAAACTAGAAAAACCAACATTACAAAGTCAACCAGGTTATTTTTTAGGCATAAAAAACATTACAAACATGGTTGATAAAAATGACAAACATGGTGGACAATAATAACAAAGCTTACAAACATTACAAAAGAACTCGACAAACATTACAAAATAACAAAACTAGCAAACATTACAAAAGAAACCGACAAATAGTACAAAGCATACTAAGCATACATAATACCGCTACTTACAATACAAATCGATAAACTTGTATTAGAAATCAATCAATACGAAGTATACAAATCATAACATAAAAGTATGCAAACTACACAAACAAACATTACAAATTACAATATATACAAAATAGTCATATAAACATTACAAATGTAATAAAGAAAGATGACAAACAAGAATAATAAACAATACAAACGGAATTGATATAAATATTACAAACCAGACTTATAAACATTATAAAATAGGTAGACAAACATCACAAATCCAACAATGTCGTCGGGAAATCATCGCATGCCATCTCTGGTCACTGGAAAAGCCTCCTCCGTTGTCATCGAAAATCTCTCTCTCTCTCTCTCTCTCTCTCGTGCTGGGAATGGGAATGGGGAAAATCCCCATAAAAGCGGACCGAATGGGAAAAAATGTTGGCATTGAGAAAGGAGTACCGCCGACGCTCGGATGAGTCGGGGAGAATGTCGTCGCCCGTCGGGAAGAATTTCCAAGAAACGCCCTGTGGGAGCGGCGACAGATAGGTGTGGGCCCGCATTTATTTTTGTTTAATTTAATTGCTAAATAAATAAATTATGTATTTACTATCATGTCCTTCATAAAAAGAGATTAATCTGAGTCATTGAATTTTAATGAGGGAGAAGGGCTGAGATTCACTTAGTCACATGACTAAGGACCCCTAGTCACCTGATCAAGGACTCCCTAGTCACCTGATCTTAGCCCATCCAAGTGGGAGACGGAATTGGCCAGGGGATTTGATTTTTCGGACCAAGTTCTTTGTCGAAGAGCTGAAGGGAAAAGACTGGAGGGAGATTGGAGGGGCATTCTTTGGATTAACTTGGACCGGAGGAGGAGAGAATAACAGCGGAGCAACGAGTGTGGAAGGATTGGTGGACTGCGCAGCTGGGTGACGAACCGCGAGCTACATCTTGGGGTTTTGCAGTATTTTCTATCTGTTTTCTTTGATTAACTTCATCATTAAAAACATGATTATATTTTTTGATTTGATCATGAATTAAACCACAATTTCTGAAGGGAAACACCATATGATGTAGTTATTTTTAGACTTGATGGATTGATTCATATTTCTTTTCCTACGATCTCTATTGCATGGAATTTATTGATGCTTTATGTTGACTGGCCACCAATACAATGATTTGCACTTGATTAGGTTATTAGCGGCAGTGAAACCCTAATAACCGAACATATTACATGTGACATAATAATTTATCAAAGCGACAGTAGATAAAATAAGGTGTTATGCGGTCTTGATTTAGAT